ATATTATTTTCATCATTCATTTTACGTGATATACGTATTGAGCAAATATCATATTCTAGGGATAGAATTATTGCTCTGACATCCGATGGACGGGTATATCAATGGATGTGTAATTCATTTAAATCGCTGAAACCAATAGAATTACAGTTTACCGTAGAATATAAAATTGTTGACATTATGTGCTCTGATTTGATAATTTTTGCCATTACTTCCAATGGAGAGGTGTTTATGTGGAGAAAAGTGGATACGAATGAAACAATAGATTTACCACAATTATTGCAAAATGTTAATAATATAAGAACTGTGTACATTTATAATGATGATTACCTAATTATGCTGTCAAATGATAAACACGTTTACAAATATTATTTGAATGATAATATTGTAGAAACCTAGTTTCTACTACAGGTTCTTACCAAGGTGCTATCGCTATGATGAGGGTTAGTTATATACTAGTCGGAGTCGGGCCTACGGCCCGCCCATTGAATTACAGTTTGTTTCACTCAAATTGCTGTATATACTGATTGAATGTCCGATTTATCATTTAATTAAAATAATTTGCGGACAAAACGTGTCGGAAGTGGAGAGGAGTGGTGTCTATGAGAGGACTAATGGAGAGTCTGTCAGGGATTATGAGACAGACATCGAGATTAAGCTATACAAACATGAGCAAACTGTCGACTTGTAAACAACCATGCTATTATATTTAGAATTACTATTTTATATTTAAAAAAATTAAACTCATTTTTAGTCATAAAAATATAATATTTTATAAGCTTTAATACAATTATTAATAAATAAATATGCATTTTATAAATAACATCGATTGCTAATTATTTAAATATTTAATAAATTAGCAGTATTTATAAATATGTACATAATGAAACACTGAATTTATTTATTAAACTAAATTATGTTAGTTAATTTTATTAATCTAATAATTGTGCGATTATGGAATATTAATAAATATTAGCATTTTGGTAATAACAAAATCTATTAGTTGTTGTGGTGCTATGCGTACCGTTTCCCACGGCATTGCGTGTCATAAAGATCGGGGACTACGAGTACGAGTACGACAACGACGTGAACCCACAGCTGGACGATAGGAGTGGTGGCGGTAATAATCATGCCGTGACGGCCGACGACATGGTTTAAAATACAAATGTAAGTATTTGTGTGTTACCTGGTTCGTATTTTAGATAAAATATAATATGATTATTTATTTGTATTAAAATTGTTTTTATGGAAGTTGGCTAAATTAATTAACATAGTGGATAGATTTGAAATTTTGCAAAATAAATACAAACAGTAATATAATTTAAAAATTATGTTAGATTATGTTAATTTAAAATAAATCATATTTTATTGGCGACTAACTGATTTTGAGTGTCTTTTTACTACAAATAACTAATGAAAAATATTTATAAAATTGTGCATGTTTATTTTTATGCAATAGTTTACGACTCGGTGGAAATCAGACCCACGGGACTATTGGAGGGTTCGTTCACAAGCCTAGGCCTATACGAGGAATGCCTGGACATCGAGAACGAACACTTCCCGGGGCTTAAAATGAAGGGTCAGTACTGTTTGGCCAAAGTTGAGTTGCCATTCATGTATCATAGTCATTGACATCTCCTCTAAAGATTAGCATACCCGCCCTCTCCCTAGCCCCCCTTGAGGTGGGCAATAAACATGGCAAATCGATTTGACCCAAAATTTTCTGTGTTGTGGTCACGTGATTTCAATAATTTTTTGATACAAAAAACTAGACATGTGAACCTTCATTTTACTTTTTACAAATTTANACCCAAAATTTTCTGTGTTGTGGTCACGTGATTTCAATAATTTTTTGATACAAAAAACTAGACATGTGAACCTTCATTTTACTTTTTACAAATTTAATCTAGCTCTTCTAGTTTGGCTGTAATCACAAAAACCGCACGGACAGATTCTGTTGACTGGGTAAATAATTGTGTGACATGGTTGGTTAACTTTACATATTTAAATAAAATATAGTATAAAGTTTTAGTTATTTATTTATAATTATAACAATTTTTATTATCTATTATGTAAAATGCCAACGTCACGTAATATGAATAGAATAATCAAAGTAAATACAAATTAATAAATACTTATAACTAATAAAATGACTTTATTAAATAGCTGATCCGCGTCATCTCCAATGGGTGTTTTATTAGCTAGCATTTAGTATACTATTACAGTAAATCTAGTACATTTTACAGTTTGTTTTATTCAAATATGATATACAGTATACATGATTTATCATGATAAGCCGGGCACACGTCAACGTCTGCCCGGACAAGTCAACTGTGTCAATTCAGTCGGTACCAATGAGATGATATTATTATAAAATATTAATAGTTTAAAAAATTTATTCTAAAAATATTTAAAGAGTCTTCTTTAGTCAACCAATTGCAATATTTTTACAAATTATAATATAATTTTATCAATTTTAAGATTTATATTACAGTTTATTATTAAAATATTAATAGTTATATATTTTTACTTTATAGTATTGCACAGCTATTCCTGACATAACAAATATATAATAATGTAATATGCAACATCTATTATAATACATGTATTATATTTAAATGGCATGGAATCGACACCCGAAATGACACATTCATTCATTCACTACTTTGGCTCTACTGAGCAAAACATATGGTAATGTAATTCAATTAATATTCAACAATTTAATTGGATATAAATACAGTTTTGATAAAAAAAATTCTGGACAAAGAATATAAATGTAATTTAATATTTACTAAAATATAGTAACAACCAATATTATATATGACGTATAAATGGGAGTATGACATGAGCTCGAAAGACATGAGCTCGAAAGACACTAGCTCGAAAATCAAAATCTCGAAAGACACTAGCTCGAAAGACATCAGCTCGAAAGCCATGAGCTCAAAAGACACTAGCTCGAAAGTCATGAGCTCGAAAGACATCAGCTCGAAAGTGATTAAATTGATTTTGCGGCATGTTTAATATGAGATATAATTATTAATTTAATTACTAAATTTAATAAAACTATAAATACATCAAATATGAAAAATCCAGAATTAAATAATGAACAAAAATTGCCGGCCATTGCCTTCCTATACGTGTATATCAATTGTTGTATTCACAAAGATTTGGATATTAAAAAGTTTTATAGCATTAAAATTTAACTAATTAAGGTGTTCAGCTTAATCAAATTTATATTTGTACATGTATATTCTGTAAACATAAGCAAAAAAGTAATCAAATAAAATATTTAAAACAAAATACCAAAAATATATAAATATGCTTGTTTAGTTGTAAATAATTTTAGGACTTTGTATAATTACAGTTTAACGTATCTTTCTATATGTGTAATAATAATTATTTAAAACTTAATCTTCTAGCAAAAAAGTCAATTAATTAATCAATGTGTTAATTAAAAATTTGTAAAATATTTATTGTAAATATTGAAAATAATTTAATATTATTTTATAATATTTAACAGACTTTAATATTTCAAAAATTGACAATTATCACTAATAAAATGACTTAATTACCGATATTGTCGAAATACACTTACTATCTCCAATGGGTGTTTTATTAGCTAGCATTGAGTATAATATTACTTTAAATCTATTAAATTTTACAGTTGTGTTATTTAATTATGATATATATGATTTATCATTTAATTAAAATAATTTGCGGACAAAACGTGTAGGAAGTGGAGAGGAGTGGCGTAAATGTAACTTAATTAAAATAAGTTAATTTCAAAAGCAATGATTGACATATTTTATAGTTACTAACTAATATTAAATAATATCTTTGGTTAAGTTGTCCAATTAGTTTAGATAATAAAATTTGAGAAAATAAATGTAGTATTTGTAATTTATATTACAGTTTCCTAAAATTAAATTATTATTAAATTAAATTAATTTTTGCCAAAATAATTATACAACGTTTATTATGCTAATAACCAGGTTTTGTCAATGTATAGCAGCGATATAAAACAATACGATACCAATAAAAACATTTGGGTATCATACAAAAAATTGTCATCATGGATTGCATATCTTTTTCAAGTGCTTAATTCTGTAAACTTATAAAAGTAATAAAAATTATTAAGAACTATGAATCTTTTTGTCAAATTACTAATATTAATTATTATTTAAAAACATGACAATATAATAATTGTAATATTTATATTTGGATTAAGATTATAGCGCATTTAGTAAATCTGAAATTATTTTACTCAACATTGTAATTTAGTAATTAATTTTTATAAAAGTTAATTTTTTAGAAATATAGTTTACCCCCCATTCTTTGTTAAGCCATTTATAATGAGTTTTTTGTAAAACAATATACTTTTATGAATACTTTAAATTATATTACAGTTGATTATTAAAGCGTATTTTATAGGTAAAACAACCAAATCACATTTAGTTTAAAATAAATTGGTATATGATATAAAAATAGTGAATAACATAACCATGGTAATTTATTTAATTTCTTACAATGTATTGTATTGACAAATGAATTAGCGTACAAATATATGCAGTGTTAAACGTAAATCTAAACATAAAGCTTTAAATCATTTAAAGTATTTAATATATCGCTACTTAAATTTATTTCGGGATATAATGCTGTTATATTGAATCTATCTAATTGACAATGGTATAATTTGGAATTATTATTTTGAGCCAGATCCTGCCAAACATGTTAAAAATAATTGTTTGCTTTTAATCATAAATACTTTAGGTATTTGGATCCATACATATTTAATTACATACAATTTAGTATAATGTTATAAAATATTTAATATTGTTTACAGTTTGTAATTAATTATAAATTAATAATTCAGAATCATTATTAATAAATATTATAACAATTATTAGAAACAATGAAGCTTATGTTCAAATTTACTAATTTTAATTATTATTTAAAAGCATGACAATTTATTGATATGTTATTTATTACAAAATAATAAATAATTAGTTTTATGCTTTTACCCCAAATCGCCAGCGCGTGGGGCGAGACATTCAAAGCCACTAAAGGGGGCGCAAATCACAACTCATTCCTCGTGTGGTTTCTGAGTGGGCGTGTGTTGTGGGCGTTGGGCTACGGATGGATTGTGTACGCGTGTAGTACTAACCGCGGCTGTAAGTGTGCAGTTAATTAAATTTAATAATGTAACTTTTGTAATAATTTAATTTGTTAATTTATTGCAGTGATTATACAGCGGTTTTTCAACTACCAGCCCATACAACTATTGGCTAAACTGGCGTTTGGTATATACCTGTCGCTCATCATTATTATAGGCACCCGACTGTTGGCCATTAGAGAGACTTATGTTATGACACACTCAAGGATTGTAAGTATTAGTGAATTATAAAATTTAATTAGTAATCACCTTCTTTTCATTCCCCACATTTAATAATAATAAATAATACAATATAATTAAATCAATTATAATAGGTTTATTTTCAGTTTTTAAAGTATTTATTGGTGAATTATTAGTATTAGTGGATTAAAATAATAAATGATTTATTAACGTAAACATTTAACGTAAAATCTCAAAATTTTGTAATATAAAAAAATTCTATATAGTACAAATTATACACAATTTATTTACAGTTTGTAACATATTAATAAATTATATAATTTTATCATAAATATATTATGAAATCTATTAAACCATTTTTAAAGCTTTGTAAATCATTTAATTAACTAAATAATGTAAAACACTACAGTTATTATATGACGGGAATTGATAAAGTGATTAGTTTTTTGCTAGAAACTAATATTGTATGAATTGATTAATCTTTCAATTGTACCCATGGCCGATTTTGAGGCCAGTGAGTTTAAAACTGTTGGCTAAAATCAGGTATTAAAGTCAGTGCTAATAAATTCCAGCTATTCCTCAACCAAACATTTGAGTAGGTTTTGGATTAATCAAAACTTCATTTGCATGTCTGGTGT